AAGGGAATCCATGGATGCCTCTTTTTGCATATGAGGTACAAGAAAGCAGCTGTGCTTGTATTGTCCTCCCATATTATCCACTGACATACAGTATATGCTCCAACTTGGAAACTCAAAAATATAGAGTTAGGACTGCACTATAAAGAGGAGCCTTTGGCATAGGCACTGTTATTTCCAAATACACTATATTGCCAGAAGTATTGGGCCAGCCCTCCAAATAATTGGATTCAGGTGTTCCAATCACCTCCATAGCCACAGGTGTATAAAATCAAGCACTTAGGCATGCAGACTGCTTGTACAAACATTCTTGAAAAAAATGGGTTGCTCTCAGGAGCTCAGTGAATTCAAGTGTGGTACTATGATAGGTTGCAACCTGTGCAATAAATTTATCCATGAAGTTTCCTTGCTACTAAATATTCAACGGTCAACTGTTAGTGGTATTATAACAAAGTGGAAGCAACTGGGAACAACAGAAACTCAGCCACAAAGTGGTAGGCTATGTAAAATGACAGAGCAGGGTCAGCACATGCTGAAGTGCACAGTGCGCAGAAGTCGCCAACTGTCTGCAGAATCAATAGCTAAAGACCTTCAAACCTCGTGTTGGCCTTCAGATTAGCACAACAACAGTGCATAGAGAACTTCATGGAATGGGTTTCAATGGTTGAGCAGCTGCATCCAAGCCTTACATCACCAAGTGCAATGCAAAGCGTCGGATGCAGTGGTGTAAAGCACGCTGTCACTGGACTCTAGAGCAGTGAAGATGTGTTCACTGGAGTGATGAATAACGCTTCTCTGGCAATCCGATGGATGTGTCTGGGTTTGGTGGTTGCCAGGAGAATGGTACTTGCCTGACTGTATTGTGCCAAATGTATAGTTTGGTGGAGGGGGGATTATGGTGTGGGCTTGTTTTTCAGTTTTCAACTCTTAAGGCATCAACATACCAAGACATTTTGGACAATTTCATGCTCCCAACTTTGTGGGAACAGTTTGGGAATGGGTCCTTCCTGTTCCAACATGATTGCACACCAGTGCACAAAGCAAGGTCCATAAAAATATGGATGAGTGAGTTTGGGGTGGAGGAACTTTACTGGCCTGCCCAGTTCTGACCTCAATCTGATAGAACACCTTTGGGGTGAATTAGAGTGAAGACTGCCAGCCAGGCTTTCTCGTCCAACATCAGTGCCTGACCTCACAAATGCACTTCTGCAAGAATGGTCAAAAATTTCCATAGACACACTCCTAAACCTTGTGGACAGCCTTCCCAGAAGAGGTGAAGCTGTTATAGCTGCAAAGGGTGTCTCAACTCAAAATTGAACCTTATGGACTAAGACTGGTATACCATTAAAGCTCATGTGCGTATAAAGGCAGGTGTCCAAATACTTTTGGCAATATAGTGTATATTTGCAAATACGTACAACTAAACCCTCTGTTTTTAATATGAATTGTTAACAGGGTCAATCGTTTGTTTTTGCAGGCTAGCTAGTAAGTGTTCTGGGAAATGTTTCTCTGTGATGTGCACTGCCTTTCCATGTGCACCTTACTGCAAAGGCTAGTTATAACTGTGGTGGTTGCCATTTTTTGTTCTGTTGTCCTGCCATGGCTGTGTGTTGGAAATGAGGAGCAATATTTGCATATCTTGGTCCTGGTCTGGCACTGGAGAAGAAGCAATGAAAGAGCTGGTGAGTGGGTGCAGGAGTGCTATATACAAGGGGTGAAGGGGTGCAGGTGAGCTGTGTTCAGGTAAAGTAAGGACAAGGGGTTCAGGGATGCAGATGTGGAAAAGGAGTTTCAGGAGTGCAGATCAGCTGTAGGAGAGTGTACAAGTAAGCTCGGTGCAGGTGAGTAGGAAGTTTGGGGGTGCAGGTTACTGGTGAACAAATGCTGGTGGTTATTACTGCACTCATTATACTCACTGATACCAGTGCTGTGGGTTATTATTAAACCACTGACATCAATGCCAGCAGTTATTACAGCCACTGACACCAATGCTAGGGGCTATTATTACATCTACTGACAATGATGGGGTCCTCTTCATTCCCACTTGCTCTTCATTGTACCTCTAGGTCCTGTTTTGTTTAAAACATAGCAAAGCAAACGAGGAAAAGTACTTTAGTATAAGCCAAGCACTGTGTAGTGATACCCACTTTATTGGCAATGGCTACTTTTTGGCAGCACCCACATTTTGCCATCCACATATTGTCGGCACCATGTTTTTTTTTTTTATTGTTTTCTTTAAGGCATACCTTTCAACTGTTTCTCCTTTGGAGGGACCGTCTTCCTCTTTCCTTTTTAGTTGTCCCTCGTTTTCGACAGGTGTGTAAGCCTCCTTAATAAATGCAATACTTAACTAACAAAAGTACTTTTGGACTTAGAACTTATGGGTTTAGCCAATCATTTTTTGCTTATGAATTCTTCTTGAACTCAATTTTTGGAGACCTGGTAGGGGACTGTCCTTTGCTTATACACTTTGTGCTAAAATTAAATTATGTGTACTTGAAAAAAAAAAAAAACAACAGACGTTTTCCATGAACTTCATTGCAAAGCTATGCCTTGTCTCACTTGTCTAAGTGTATCTAAGTATAACTAGTACATTCCTTCCAGACAGCAATGTAAATACACTTTTTCAATCATCACCTTTTTAGGAACTTTAGATACAAGTCTCTTTTACATTCATAGGATTTTACAAGTCAATGTAATAGCTATTCCTGTTTATTGCTGCATTAATGCAGTGTTTCTCAACTCCCAGCTATAGGAAAGCTACAAGCTAATGTTTTTCCTATATATACAGGGAAAAGCACAGATGCCTTACAAACATTTTGAAAAAAGAAATGCCTTTTGGTTAATGTTTAAAACTCTGTATTTGTTAGCATGTGCTGAGAAATATAATTTGTCTGCCACTGCTTGTTTTTATTATAAACATTGCTAATTGCCTGGGTGTCATGCCAATCCAAAGCTTTTAAAGTGAAACTAAATCAAAAAAAATTGCAGGCTCTTTATTGCAAGAGATACGTTACTCTGCTGCAATAAGAAAAATATACTGTATTTTTCGCTCCATAAGACGCACCTGACCAAAAGATGCACCTAGGTTTTAGAGGAGAAAAACAAGGAAAAAAATATTCTGAACCAATGGACTGCAGACACAGTACAGGGGATGACCAGAGACTGCGGACACAGTACAGGGGATGACCAGAGACTGCGGACATAGTATAGGGGATGACCAGAGACTGCGGACATAGTACAGGAGATGACCAGAGACTGCGGACACAGTACAGGAGAAGTACCAGAGACTGCGGACATAGTACAGGGGATGACCAGAGACTGCGGACACAGTACAGGGGATGACCAGAGACTGCGGACACGGTACAGGAGATGACCAGAGACTGCGGACACAGTACAGGAGATGACCAGAGACTGCAGACATAGTACAGGAGATGACCAGAGACTGTGGACACAGTACAGAAGACCAGAGACTGCAGACAGTGCAGGGGATGACCAGAGACTGCAGACAGTAAAGGAGATTACCAGAGACTGCGGACCTTTGGGGAGGGAGGGGGAATGGGTACCTGAATTTGACACTTCTGCAGAGTTGTCTTTCCTTCTTCCCGCGGCGGCTTCTGTGCCAGCCGGGTGCCCACTGTGCATGTGCGAGAAGCGCTGCGCTTTGTGAATGGCCCAGAGACTTCTGGGACCTGTCATGTGTCCCAGACGACACCGGACCATTCACAAAGCGCGGCGCAGTGGGCACCCGGCTGTCACAGAAGCCACCGCGGGAAGACTGCAGTGCTGGAGCGAGGAACAGGTAAGGTCCTGCAGGAGAGAAGAGCTGAGCGGCCGGCCCGATATTCTGACATGGTGGCGGCAGAAATACCGGACTGGACGCTTTACATTCGCTCCATAAGACGCACTGACATTTCCCCCCCTGTTTTTGGGGGAAAAAAGTGCATCTTATGGAGTGAAAAATACGGTACCTGCCTATTTACAATGTTTTTTAGAATGAGCCCTGAGCTGCACATGCACTGCACAATTTATATTCTTGGCATACCTCAGTGCTGGAATGAATGAACCCCTATGTGTATATTTGTGGGAACAACATCATTTTGGTCCAGTCAAATCAATTTGGCCAGTGATCCCAAACCTGGAGGATGACCAAATGAAGATGTCGGTGCTTGTGAAGGAGAAAGGAATGGGGAGTTTTTAATGGTTTTAAAGCTGAAATTTGGGTAAGGCAGCTTTTACACATTGCAGGGAACATTTTACATTTTCTCAGTGATTGCAAACCATCCTCTGACTGGAGGATATGGAATGAGGAGGTGGTGACATCACAAACCCTACTTTGTCCAATCATAGAACACTGAGAAAATGCAAAGTGTTCTCTGAATGGTGCCTGTTCTCACTGGGTGACATCCTGTGCCCAGTAAGCAGAAAGGCAGCCACTAGGCAAGAGACCTGGAAGCTAGCAGCAATCATTGTAACAGCAGTGTCTACTACAGGGGCTTCTAGATTCAAAGGGGAACCCACAGGTATAACATGTACACTATATTGCCAAAAGTATTGGGACACCTGCCTTTACACCCAGAGATGAACTTTAAAGGCATCCCAGTCTTAGTCCTTTTAATATTGAGTTGGCCCACCCTTTGCAGCTATAACAGCTTCAACTCTTTAGGGAAGGCCGTCCACAAGGTTTAGGAGTCTGTATATAGGAATGTTTGACCATTCTTGCAGAAGTGCATTTGTGAGGTCAGGCACTTATATCGGTCAAGAAGGCCTGGCTAGCAGTCTCTGCTCTAATTCATCCCAAAGGTGTTCTATCAGGTTGAGGTCAGGACTCTGTGCAGGCCAGTCAAGTTCCTCCACCCCAAACTCGCTCATCCATGACATTATGGACCTTGCTTTGTGCACTGGTTGCGCAGTCATGTTGGAACAGGAAGGGGCCATCCCCAAACTGTTACCACAAAGTTGGGAGCATGCAATTGTCCAAAATGTCTTTGTATTCTGACACCTTAAGAGTTCCCTTCACTGGAACTAAAAGCGCAAGTCCAACCCCGAAAAACAACCCCACACCATAATCCCCCCTCCACAAACTTTACACTTGGCACAATGCAGTCAGGCAAGTACCGTTCTGGCAAACGCCAAACCCAGACATGCCCATTGGATTGCCAGACAAGGAAGCGTGATTGGTCACTCCAGAGAACATGTCTCCGTTGCTCTAGAGTCTAGTGGTGGCATGCTTTACACTACTGCATCCGACGTTTCGCATTGCACTTGGTGATGTAAGGCTTGGATGCAGCTGCTCGGCCATGGAAACCCATTCCATGAAGCTCTATTTGTACTGAAGTACTGTACTGTACCATGAAGGCCACAAAAAATTTGGAGGTCTTTAGCTATTGACTCTGCAGACAGTTGGTGCCTTCTGTGCACTGTGCTCTTCAGTATGTGCTGACCCTGCACTGCCATTTTATGTGGCCTACCAGTTTGTGGCTGAGTTGTTGTTGTAAGTTGCTTTCACTTTATTATTATGCCACCAACAGATGACTGTGGAATATTTAGTAGCAAGGAGTTTTCAAAGACGGATTTATTGTACAGGTGGCAGCCTATCACGGTACCACACTGAGAGCGACCCATTCTTTCACAAATGTTTGTAGAAGTAGTCTGCATGCCTAGGAGCTTGACTTTATGCACCTGTGGCCATGGAGGTGATTGGAACACCTGAATCCAATGATTTGGAGGGGTGGCCTAATACTTCTGGCAATTTGTACATACTTACATTAGGTATGGAAAAATAATGCCTTTTGTATAATCAGCTTTAAAAAAAACTGGAAGAGATATACAGATACAGTATTCTGATTTATTCTGACTTCACTTTGCCAAATGCTTGTTCAGAGTAAGTGATGCAGGCTATACATTGGTAGAATTTTGAACAATTTTTCGTCCGACAATCGAAAACGTCATTTGCTCGGTAATCCGATAGTGCCATCAATGATTTCGAAAAAATCGTCTGACCAAGTCATAAAGTTCACCCAATATAACAGGCAAGACTTCTGTTCCTCCCAGGTCATGGCTCATGTGCATATATTTTTTTTCAGAAAAATGATCGTACGATTTGACCATCATTGAGTGGAAAATCGGTAGTTTTTCACAAATTTTCCAACATGCTCGATCACCGAAAAGGGGAGGAACCACGAGAATTGGCCATTGACCCACTAACAGAGCAAAAATTGGCCGATTATTCTTAGGTCCGATTTTCGGACGAAAAATCGGTCAAATTTCAACCCATGTATGGCCGGCATGAGTTAGACAACCAGAGGTAACAAGACAACTAGTGGTAGTGGCAGTCCATAGATTTCTCTAAGGGTGAATTTACAGATAACACAGAGCTGCCAGAGTGATTTGCTGCTTCGGCAGCTCAGTGTTGCTGGCTGCGCTAGGTGGCAGTGTTGTGCATGATTCAGCGCATCACACAGCTCTCTTTTTTTGTTTTCTGTTGAATAAACTTTCTGTGAAGTGTACAAAATGTACACTTCAGTCACTGTATGGTAGGGCAGCGTGATGCGTTGCCTTACATCACAGTGCGATTTGGCACAAAAGGTACACTTCAGTCACTGTATGGTAGGGAAGCGTGATGCGTTGCCTTACATCACAGTGCGATTTGGCACAAAAGGTACACTTCATTCACTGTATGGTAGGGCAGCGTGATGCGTTGCCTTACATAACAGTGCGATTTGGCACAAAAGGTACACTTCAGTCACTGTATGGTAGGGCAGCGTGATGCGTTGCCTTACATCACAGTGCGATTTGGCACAAAAGGTACACTTCATTCACTGTATGGTAGGGCAGCGTGTTGCGTTGCCTTACATAACAGTGCGATTTGGCACAAAAGGTACACTTCAGTCACTGTATGGTAGGGAAGCGTGTTGCGTTGCCTTACATCACAGTGCGATTTGGCACAAAAGGTACACTTTAGTCACTGTATGGTAGGGCAGCGTGATGCGTTGCCTTACATCACAGTGCGATTTGGCACTAAATGTACACTTCATTCACTGTATGGTAGGGCAGCGTGATGCGTTGCCTTACAACACAGTGCGATCTGGCACAAAATGTACACTTCAGTCACTGTATGGTAGGGCAGCGTGATGCGTTGCCTTACATCACAGTGCGATTTGGCACAAAAGGTACGCTTCATTCACTGTATGGTAGGGCAGCGTGTTGCGTTGCCTTACATCACAGTGCGATTTGGCACAAAAGGTACGCTTCAGTCACTGTATGGTAGGGCAGCGTGATGCGTTGCCTTACATCACAGTGCGATTTGGCACAAAAGGTACACTTCAGTCACTGTATGGTAGGGCAGCGTGATGCGTTGCCTTACATCACAGTGCGATTTGGCACTAAATGTACACTTCATTCACTGTATGGTAGGGCAGCGTGATGCGTTGCCTTACAACACAGTGCGATCTGGCACAAAATGTACACTTCAGTCACTGTATGGTAGGGCAGCGTGTTGCGTTGCCTTATATCACAGTACGATTTGGCACATGAGCTGTGCTAAAATGAAGCATGTCTGCATTTTACTGTAGCACGCTGCAGCACAGCACTAGGCTGCGTTGCAGTGTGAATGAGACACATAGGAATAAATTGTTTTCCTGTGTGTCCCTGCCAGGACAGATGTTTTACACTGCAGTAAAACGTCTGTCGCGGCAAATAGGGTGAATTAGCCCTAAAACAGTGAATTATGTCATAATAAAAACCTTTTATGGATGCAATACTAACAATGGTCACTAGATGTCATAATGGTGCTATCTTACCTTCTCCTATTAAATAGGTAAAGACAAATGGTGCTTACAGCTCATTAGTGTGATAGTTTTAATTGGGAAGAAATAAATCTAGAACACTTGTAATTGAAACAAACAAAATAGTTCAAATGTAAAATAATCCATTTCTATAAAGGCTTACCTTTTTTTTTTTAGTAAGATCTATCCTGTCCCTAGAACCATGGTAAAGTGCATTACTTTTGCTCTTTGATATAATGCTAATGGTGGTGTGAAATGTTAGAGTAGTGACAACTTTACAAATTGGGTGTAGGTGAAACAGCTTCCTTCTCCATCATAAAGCAGCCCGCAGGATATTGGGTAACCAATATGTGTGCTGTACTCTAGGAAAGAAAAAACAAGTCTGGATCGATGAAGCGCTGGGTGTATGCTGTAGTATATAAGCGATATGATCAATGATCACCCATTAAGCCAGCAGTCACCGATTGCTTTGGAGAATGCAATGAATAAAACCAAAAGGGAGGATCATCAACTTATTCAGCGAGGTGAGCTTTCCATAGTGAAGATGAAATAGAAGAACATTCTCTCACTTGTAATCTCAAAATAGCCTGCTAATTAAATTCTTCTATTACTGAATTAAATGACTTGCCACATAATTGCCTCATTATTGTTAATGACTTCTTTGCATCACATTCTGCCGTTTACACAGGTACTTAAAATATGTTGTCAAGACAAAAAAAATACTATGGATGCTCCTTTTTTGGATTCTAAAACAGGAGAAACAGGGGTTATGTCAGTCATTGTCTCCCTTGCCTATTCCACAAGAACACAGGAGACGACTGACAAGTGCTTTGGCATGTTGCTCATTCCACAATAGGAGAAATGCAGGCTTTGTCAGTTGTCTCCTCCGCCTTGTTTGTTTTGCTTGATAGGGATGGATAAGAGATGTACTGGCATATGAAAATCTATTGGTGACATGTTCTGCTGATGTACCTGCATTTCATCCTTTGCTATGACAGACTCCTCTGTGGGGTTTGTAACCATACCATTTTGTCTCCATGCCATGGAATGCAGAATCCGGTATGTCATGGTAATTCAGTTATCCTTCCCTTGAATACCAATAAGCTCACCTGCTGAGGTCTGTTCCTGATCCTCTGCTAGTCACGGACCTCTGCTCAAGAAGCCAGCAAAAGTAGACCATTGCTTTGCATGTCAAGGAACAGCCTGGCTCCCAGCAGAATAAAGTCACTGTAGGAGCACTTGTAAAGCTCAGCTACCTAATGTTATATTCATCCTCATTATTATGCCTTCACAAGATCTGATTTTACACCATGCACGACAGACAAAACATTAACAATATGTTTAGCCATGCATTGTCAGGCTTATCTACCTTGGATTCTTGATCAAAAAAGTGAAAATACATACAAGAACCAATTACTTTTTTTCTTTCAAGCACTGCAATCATGTGTACCTACCAGGCAAATCACTTTTGTACGGGACAATTGTATGGTTTTATAAAAGTAAGTGTTTTCCAAAGTCATTTCTTCTTGTACCTGACCATTACTCTGTTTATAATGGAGGAGAATCTTTCATCAGCTGTTTGATCACCCTCAGCCAATTATTTTAAATGGTTTCTATATGGCTGCTCCCAAAATGACATCTTGAAGAGAGATTTATCAAACATAAAAGAAGGTTGCAGTTAAGGAGTTAGAACTTCTACGCCAAGTCATACCGCTCATATGAAAGCATTAAATATTGCATGTTTGGTTTTGTCTGTTGCCAATACAACATATTCTGTAAGCATGCTGCTTTTTTGAAATTTATAGGCACTTTGGGGAATTTATTTTGTGTTTCATGGCATGGAACACAGCGTGTTTTCATTTGGATAAATAGGTAGTTTAAAGGTGAACTCCAGACTTACCATTAATCTTACATTTGTATGATTTCCTCTTCTGTACTGATATTTCTTACTCTGATTTCACACTATCGGCTTCTCCCAGTGTGTATTAGAAGCCACAGCAAGTCAGATAGAGCCCACTTTCCTGGCTGGACAATGTCAAGCATCATCCAGCTCTATCCTTCTCAGCCTTCCCTTGCCCACTCTTTCAATCATTGGAATTCAGATCTTTCTATCATGGAGGCTCAGCATTACATGTGGGCATTACATGGGGCAGTGTGCATGCAAATACAGCCAGTTTAGGAATATCCATCCCTCCTGAATTACATTCACTCATCAATGCATTTTGATATCTGCATAATTTTTCCCAAGAACCAGCCACTGTTTGTATCAGGGTGAGGGCTCTTGAGAGTTATGTACA